ACCAGTGTGAACCAGTCAGCTCCTGGTAACACCAGGGAGAAGCAGGGCTGGGATGGATTACAAGCTTAGATACTAAAGTGTTCAAGATGACACCAAGCTGAGTGGTGTGGCTGATACTCTAGAGGGAAGGGATGCCACCCAGAGGGACCTTGACAAGCTAGACAAGTAGGGCTGTGTGAACTTCATGAAGTTCAGCGTGGCCAAGTGCAAGGTCCTGCATCTGGGTTGAGGCAATCCCAAAAATGGATACAGACTGGGGGGTAAGTGGATTGCGAGCAGCTCTGTAGAGAAGGACTTGGGGTTATTAGTGGGTGAAAAACTAAATGTGAGCTGGCAGCGTGCACTCACAGCCCAGAAAGCCTGGGCTGCATCAAAAGATGTGTGGCCAGCAGGTCAAGGGAGGTGATTCTGCCCCTCTATTCCACTCTTGTGAGACCCCACCTGAAGTACCGCGTTCAGCTCTGGGGGCCCCAACGTAAGCAAGACATGGACCTCTGAGCGGGTTCAGAGGAGGGCAACAAAGATGATCATGGGGCTGGAGCACAGGTGGAGAGAGTTGGGGTTTTTTTTTAGCTAGAGAAGGCTCTGGAGACCTTATAGTGGCCTTTCAGTACTTGAAGGATGGCACCAGGAAAGCTGGAGAGGAACTCTTTATCAGGGAGTCTAGTGATAGAAGGGCAATTTTAAACTGAAAGAGGGTAGGTTTAGGTTAGATATTAGGAAGAAATTCTTTACTGTGAGGGTGGTGAGACACTAGAACAGGTTGCCCAGAGAAGCTGTGGATGCCCCCTCCCTGAATGTGTTCAGTTTAGCCGTACATTGTCATGCAGTAGATGTGAGAGAATATTTTGAAGATTGTCTTTGTGTTCCTTATACTTTCATCTCAGAATTAGCAGGGCTTGTGCTGTTGGGTTTTACCTCTATCAGGTTTTGCTGATTAGTTTTATTATCCTCTTTTCACAGTAATAACTTGTCCTCATAAAAGAGCAGTGAGAACTTTTAGGATTGAAAGAAATAGCTAGTTCATGATACAGCGTCAGGAATGGTTAACAGTCAGAAGAATTAGCATTACTTCCTTCCCTTTGGGTTTCAGGCACAGTACGTTTATTACACTCTAGTGAGAATAAAATTCATTTTGGTGTCAAAAAGTACAGAAAAGCACCATATTCCTAATTCAATGAAAAGACAACAAGGCATCATGAGCCTTGTCCATGAAACACTGCAGCTTGACGTTACAACTCTCCCAACATTCAGTGTAAAAACTGTTCCTGCAGTTCTGGGAACAGGAGAGAAACGTCTATGCCTTTATATGTAACTGGAAAAAACTTTGTGCAAAATTGTCCTTTGATGGCCCTAAGCCTGAACGGGGAGCAGTGGCGCTGTTCTGCGTAACCGAGTAACATGGGCTGTGTCTATTGCAAGTTCTGTGACTTGTACTGGCTTTATTTTAAACTGTGAGTTCTTTTAAAGGTGAACTTCCAATACTTGCCTATTGATGGGAGTTTCAGTTTATTCAAATTTCAGGTTACTGCACAGTATGTTCAATCCAGACTCAAGCTACATATAAATATGTTCTATGTTAATTTAAGACTTTTGAGACTGTTTACTATAGAAAACTTGTTCTGTGTGCCCATATACTGCACTAATTTGAGTGAAACAAGCTAATTATAAGTTGATGTCATATGGCTAAAAAAATACATGTTTATTCCTTCCGTGTTTCATGACGCTGACGTTCTCAACCACATTTGCAGAACACACACATAATGGGTTTTCTGGGCCTAGGGCCTTACTGGATAAAGTTATGTTCTTTATTGTGCATTTTGTTACTAAAAAGTTAAACCTCATGCAAAACCTTTGGGATCTTGTGGATACCAGCAGGCTATTTGTGCTGCTTCTAAGTTTATCTTTCACTGAATAATAGCAGGATTGTATTTTTGCCAGAAAAAAAAATAAAGTAAGCACACTATTTATTGTAACTCAGTGAGTATATTGTAGAGAATGTGCCATGGTTCAATGTCTACACAAGTTGGAAATAAAAATAGGAGACAAATGAATGTTCAAAGCTGATTTGGAGAAATCATGAATCCTATCTGAAAAAAGCAACTTGATTGGTTTTTTTTGGTAGACAACCCATTATGACAGTTGTCCAGTTGCTGACAGGCAGCTGTCTCCAGCAAAGTGAAGGTAAATTCAGTGACCTGTTACTGCTTATAGTTCAGTAGTACCTAAATTACATCCCATTGTGCTATTTTATTGCAAAAATTGCAATGAAGAAATTCACCCTTGCCTAAAGAGTTTATAGTTCTGAAGAAAAACTATTTAATGCTTCTGTAGAAGGAGGACACAGCAGGTCTCTGCTTGTTACGAAGCCCCTTTGGAGTATTTGTCACTCTGAAAGAGCCTGACCCGTGTGTGTCTTGTGTCCAGTAATGTTTCACGGATGTAAGAACAATCTATAAAGTCGCTCTGTTTTCAGTTATTTCCTCTGTGTACGGTATCAAGCTTTTGTCTTTGGAAAGAACTGGAAGTGTATAGGTTTGGTGTGAAAGACAAACTGACATTTCCAGCAGACTCTCATTCTCAACCCCCCAGTTAGAGATGGCATCTCCTCTGTACAGCATGTCCCTTGAGTCGTAGATAATGCTTTCACTAAACACTGACATAGTTTGTTAGACCAGTAAGCCACTCTCTGAATTTCTGTCTTGTTCTAGAGCTCTACTAACAGCTGTAAGCAACATGTACTAATCAGAGGCTAAAATAATGTACACCTTTATTGGATATTAAAAAAAAAAAAAGAGTGCAAAATAAATACATAAATAAACCCAAATGCTCTGTTGAAAAAGAATCCGTGAGGAGGGAGGGAAATGTAGCCGTCTACCTTTGTGAAACATCCCACATTTTGATTTTTCCAGCTGTTCACAGAATACTGCTATCTCCTGTTCGTCTCCTGACGACATAAATTGCAAAAGAGGTGATTGGAGGGGGCTGTTTCAGGAGTAAGATTACAGAAGACTAAGACTGAGCAGACTGCTTATCTAATCCACTTTTAACCTGTGGTAAGAAACCAGTGAGAAGCAACTGTAAGCAGGCTGGGTGTTAAGAGGAAATATAATAGTGTAAGTGCCTCGGGACACCCTGTCCATTAGTATTCTTGTAAAAGCTTTTATAACATGCAAAGAACCAATCGTTACCTCCCCAGGGGAAGTAGAAATGAGAATATTGAAATCATTCTGAGCTCCACATCTGCCCAGGAAGACTTTTGCCATGAGAAATGTCATGCATTGGAGCAAGAAGTTTCAGGATGGAGTTTCTTTAGAGATATGTGCGTTATTGATCGAAAATTATGGACTTCGACATTCTCTGTCGCAGAAATTGGAGTCAACACTCTGACTGTTCTTCGCTGACTTTGCAGCAAATCAGCTTTATAATATAATTGAAAATCAATGAGTCTTCCTATAATTAATCATTCTTTCTACTTTATTAACAACGTATTTAAAATTTAAAATAACAGACTAATATTTTTAAAGCAGTATTACTTCTCATTGTCTACAAAGAAAAACATTGCATAAATAATTTCTTAGAAAATAATAAATATGTAATTCAATCTCTGAAACAATACCTTTTCTCTCTAGGTTCTGGTCCCTCATGAAATAATTGCAAAAATCTATCAACATCACAAATTTCCATAGTTTATATGATTTCAGCATAAACTCTACAGAGAAAATACCAACAGTGAGGAACTGTCTTCATCCCAAACTGTGTTCATCTGATACTAGGCTTAGCACTTCTATAGGATATATACAGCATGTGATGATTCACTTTCTAATAATATTCTTTAATGTAAAAACACAAACATTAGTCTGGATGTTGAGAAGCTAAGTAAAGAAAAGTTGCTGTCAAACTCAAGACTTACCAAAGTTGCACATAACAAAGAATTTTCTAGAGGAATTAATGACTTTAAAATTAGCAGAGGCTCACTTTTAATGTAGAACCAGCACCTTACTCCCAGAACTCGGCCTGCACAGTCTTAGCACTATGAAGTGTACGGCCAGATAACCCAAACTCTACAGAATAGAAAATGTAAACTGAGATATCTAAGCTGATACTAAAGTCACCTGTGTTCTAGGAAATAAGGAATAATCAGTACCTTTTATGTTAAACCATGCACATCGTTAGGTGTTTACAGGACAAACATCAGTGAGGTTATCTGATTTGAGAGGACCATCCGTTTCATAAATCTGCTCCACTTAGTAGAATTTGCTTAATTGCTCCTAAAACAAATCATTGTCCCTAAAACAAATATGGTTTTAATTGTCAAATCTCAATTTTGAATCTGTTGATCCTATAGTCTTTTAATTAAAAGTATGAAATAGATTTATCACGCTTTTACTTTTGTTTTGAGAACACGAGTGCCATATTTTGATTTTTGTGTTTTAGAGGAAACAACTGGGGCATGAGGACATCTGACAGGATGTTAATTTCCCAGCAATTTGACTTCAGTCACCATAGCTGTTGAAATCTCTGCTATCACTAACTTTCTACAAGTCATTCAGAGAGTGGTAACTCTGCTGGTGCTTCCTTAATAGTGTGCTTGTCCTGCATCATGGCACTTACAAAAGTGGGAAAGGGATCTCAGTGTTCTTCTCACAGAAAGTGAGTAGAATGACTTCTAACAAAGTGTGATTGTCACCATAACAGCTTCATTTTCCTCTGCCTTCCTACTTGCACTAGCCACGTGACCTCCCATAAATCTCCAAGGTGTACCTCTCCTCTCAGACTGAATTTAGGTGTTGCTACCTCTAGCTCAGTTTATCTCATTTTCTTATCAGACCGTAACTGCTATAGTCTGATAGATTTTTGACTATGTGAGACTTTGACCCATCTTAGCAGAAGGAATTGGAACCTACTGCAGTCAGAACGTCATGCTGTGGCCTGTGAGTGCCATTTGATGTTTTGTAAAATATCCAGAGCTGCTAGGCTGTATCACCCAAAGCCATCTTCTAATAAGCATTTTCTAACTCATGCTGGTTCGATTTGCTGCTCCGGGCTCTGGAGAGACGGGGCTTCTTGTTCTTCTGAGGCCTGACAGTTTCCTTTCCAAAGTCCTTCAGCTCAGACTGATTGTGGTAGCGAGTGTAGCGCTTGCATTTGCAGGATGTGACAGCTCGGAATTTGTAAGTCCGAGTCTCTTCCTCAGGACAAGACATCTGGATGCGCTGCGTGCGAGTGTGAGCAGGAATGCAGCGATAATCCAGAGCATTCTGACGCCACCACTTCCCTCTGCCAATAGAGTTGGGAAGGAGGTGTGAGGGGCCACACTGACCAGAGCAGACCAGTTCCTTGACAGGCTTGACGCTGCGACAAGGCCCTTCTGTGACATAGCGGGTGGTTCGCATTTCTCTGCAGCTAAGGTCGGAAGCATCTGCAAACAAGAAACACATTAACTAATGACTAATTTCTTCCCCATCCTTGAGAAAGCACTTTGTTGTTTCTGTAGCAGATAACTAGCACTGAGCTAGATACAAGTTGGATATCATGAATGGCAGATTTTGGGAAGAGTATCTCCAAAGGCTCACTCATGCAGCTTCTGAATATTTGGCTATTCTAGTTATAAGACCCTCGAACAACCACGTACAAATTGATGAACAAAATCCTTCTCTTGCCACTAGGTAAATTCCATGTCAGGGTTGTGCAGGTGGGGAGTGGAGTTTCTGAAGTGTAACCTCAGCAGAAGTGGTTACTTCATGGCAAATTTTGATGGGATTCTCCTGGCCTCATTTACCTGTGGGCAAAACCTTCCCTCATTACACTAGTTTATTGACTTTAGAGGTTGATTCCAGATATAAATTCTTCTGCAACAAAGACAGTGTTCCTGAAGTGATTTTTAACTAGCATAACGTGTTCCATGTTAGGGAAATCAGCAGGTAACAACAGTGATAAGTAAGGAATTCCCACTCTTCAGGCATTAGGTTTTCCAAGTTTATTGCTCTCTGTGATAATCCCACATCTTACATAATTTCCTTCAGACAGCTAGAGGTACCTTCGGCCTGATTAGGAACCTTACACTGTCCCCCCCACCCCCCTTTTTCTCAATGGATAGCTATGGGCAGATGAAACACTAGGAAATACAAGATTTTTTAGCATTAAAGGTTTAGAAAACCCTTCCAATTGTAGGAAAAGACTCTTCTGCCAAGTGACATGCTTGGCTAATTGACTTGTTTGGAGGACACAGAATTTGATTTTTGAAGGTGTTTATCTTCTAGAACTTCATCTAGATAAACACATGCTAATGTTCTCTTAGTCAAAAGGATAGTTTTAACTCAGGAACGCTAGTTTTGGTGGAAATCCTCAAAGGTCAGCTTACAAATAGAAGGCTGTGTCTCTTAGACCCATTCTCCTTGCTGTGCACAAGGTGGTTCCCTTCTTAGTACATCCAAAGAGAATTCTGACCCTGAGTCATTAGTGATAGAACATTATTTGTACAGACATTTTTGTTTTTCCTGTGAAGTACAGAAACGTGTTTTAGTGCTCAAGTTTATACTTACCAAAGTACAGCTAGCAAGATTTCATTTTTTAGACGTTTTAAGGACTGCATAAATGAAATAAAAAACAATCCTTGTCATAATGCTGTGACAAAAATGCTGACAACTGAACTCCATGTGCACTTAGTCCCCAAGTCCCTCCCAAGTTCCCTAAGCATTTAAGAAAATTATGTCTATGTAAAAAATAATGCTCTGAATCAGAGTATTGTAGCACCATAGCACATAGGCAGATATCGTTAAATATACGGGCATTTTGCCTCAGCTATATAGGTTTATTTTCTGTGTATATATGTCCTGTCCTATATGTGTGGAGGTTCTACATACTGCAAAATTAATTATGGTCTGGTGCAACGTCATGTGTCCCAGTAAGGTCTGGCTGCTTTGGATCATTGATTTGATTCCTTGTGTTAAAGATATTAAAATATATATGCAAGACCATTGCCTATCTTGAATAACTGTCCAGTCTCCTTCATTCTCTCTTTCTTAAGTAAATGTGCTATCCACTTAAAAAAATATGCATGTATCAGTGGGACAGATTCCCTCCAGTTGATGTCAGAGTAGCAAGAGGCTAAAAAATGAAGGTATTTAAATGTAACAACAAAATCAACCTGCTTTGACCTAGCGCATGGTGGGGCTGCCTGGGAGAAGCAGAGTGTTCCCCGTTTTAGGAACTTAAGACCTTTATAAAGTTGCACTCTCAAAAACTTTTTTTTTTTTTTTTTAGATATTGTTAATGCTATGGTTTTAAACACCTTGACTGACAGCTCCAGCAGTAAAACACAATTCCCTTCCAGTTGTCCCCAGAAAAAGGCAATCAGCTCAGATCTGCAATGCACAACAGCGGAAATTGTAAGTTTAACTTGTTGCTATGTGCATTTGGTAGCCAAATGTGTCAGTCTGGAGGACCAAGTTTACCTTTTCCTCCAGTAGAACACCTCTTTAAAACTACCTTCTCTGTTTGGTGCTAACTCCCCATCTTGCATCTCCCCTCACAAAGCTTGTGGCTTGCATCTTTGCTAATGTCAGACATTTGGCCGAATGCAGTGATCAGGTATTATGAAGTGTGTCAGTGCTGTTAAAGTAGCCCCACTGATTCCAAGATTGCACAGCTCTGCAAAATAGAGTCCCCTCCAATTCATTTGGGCATGGATTCCCCTTGGGAGTGCTTTAACTGTTCACAACAGGCTGCTGGAATTTGGCTGAAAATCTGGCTGTTGGCAAAGGACGCTTTCCAAGCAGCACACTTCTTCCACCTAGCTGAATGCTGTGTGATCTTAGATATCACTAGTGTGACTCTTTCTAAATATTAAGAATTTATATTATTATCTCCACTGTCAACTCACTGCCCCATCCTAAAATCAAAGACAGAATGATGATGTTTCCTCATAGTACTCGCAAAACAGAGAGAAATTGAATATCTTCTATGGTTTTATGTATTGAAGTTGTGTCTGCAGAGAGCAGCTGGGCAGAACAGGAATGTATATTGTAGTATCTAAGGATTGTTTAATAGACAGACCACATTTTTCATCAATGAACTCTGGTATATCCCTTCTAATGTTTACATTGATACTTCTTCAACAGTAGATGTAACTCCCTATCACGTACAGCATTAGGTCCACACTTTAAGGTTTTACTAAATAAACATACATGACAAAAAGTCTTCTTTTACAAACTGTCTGCTAAGGTCCAAAACAGTAATCATGATGTTATTTTTCTTACCGTTAGGGTCTGGGGCTTGTTGTATGTGTCTTCCTCCATGCTTTGCCTGGTTCATTGTGTTGTTGTTGCTGAAAGTCTGCTCCATTGGTGTTTCTGTATTTTCAGGGACCTCAGGAATGATTTCTGTAGCGTCATTTTTAAACACTTGCCATCCTTCCACAGATCGAAATGCAATTTGTATTAAGACACAGACAGAGCACACAGCCCAAGAGATCTGCATGGTGGCAGCTCACAGATTAGCTTTTCAACACTCTGACAGTCTCAGATCCCAGGCAAAAAGCACATTATTCCCCTTTTTTAAATCCCTTTTAGAATCAAGCCAGCCAATGACTATACAAAGTGGGAAGGGCTAGACAACAACTCATTCATCTCAGCTTTTGTCAGTGTGAAATAAAACGGGTGTGTGGGGGTGGGTTAGTGACAAAATTCTACAACTTCTATGTAAAAACTTCTCACATGCACTTCATTTTTGAGCCTGGCAACAATGGTGATTGACAAGACTAGGATGAATTGCCACCTGACAAGTCTTTCTGTGGTTTTTCTAACAATGTTATAATTAAAACCTGCTTCTACCTCCATATTTAAATCTTTAACTGTTGTCTTTTCCAACAGTTTTTCAGACTTTTTATTTTTACTCTTCTCCCCCACTTCCGATATTGAAGTAAGCAAATCTCGAAACTGTAGCTCAATAGTTATGCTTTTCAGTCTCTGCAGGCCAACGGTAGGGGGTGGATAGCTTTTTTTTTTCCTTTGGAAAACAAGGAACTCTACATTTTGTTTCACAAATGTACTGGAAGAAACAGGAAAGAGCTTCTTTTCAAAATGAGAAGTTGTTTTGTTTAGTTTTCCTTAAAAAAATAAGCTATCTGGAATATGTTAGGGTAAACTGCCAGGATGTTGTACGTCATGTTTTTTGATGTGCTCTTTCTCACATTTTTATCACTTAAAAAACCCAAACATTTGCATTTGCTTTAAACTCACTGCCTACTACTACTTCTGCTGACATTCTGCGCAAGTGTTGAATATAGGACATGTGCTTATTTTAAACACATGAACGTGACCAGATTGATTTCCATTCATGATGCAACCAACAAAAAGGGAGAATCAATGACCTTGTGTTTAGGGCACCTATGCCCAAGATGTATTAATGTGTCATGTTTTAAAATCTCATCTATGGTGTTCTTCTTCCTTGCAAAAATAACATGATAGTGGTGATAGCTGCATCATTTCTTTGTCTCAAGACCATACACCACTTTCAAGTTATTTGCAAATGATGTCAGGCTAAATACACTGACTGGAAAGCATCTCAGCTTTTAGTAAGGTTAGATACTACATTGAGCTCATCAAAGCTACTGAAAGCAAGAAGTTCACTTAAAGCAGTAGAGGGACACCCATGTGTGTTACCGCAATGTTTGTTGCATATATCCTCATGAAAATATTTCATGTAGAACAGATTCAAAAGTGATTCACTGTCTGACTTTTCCTTGCTACTGTAAGACTGATTACCTAGGGCTTGCGTTCCATTCTGACAATTTCCCTGACTTGGCATGGAAAAAAAGTGTCATCAAGTTTGAAGTGGAGGTGTATTCTCCCTTGGTGTGACCTTGATGATAAATAATAGGGTCAAACAACAGCAATGACCTGAGGACACTTGACCTCCTCAGCCTTACACATACACAGAGACACACACAGTAGATGCACTGGCGGTGCTGAGCTTGATGAGCTTTTGTCTACCTGCTCTGTACGATGGTCCTTCCCTAAAATAATAGCATCTGAAATATATTGTGACATGCTTTCTCTCCTACCCTTTCTCTCTGCCAAAATTATCGCAATTAGCATTCTTAGAAGAGCCCTCCTTTCCAAATACTCCAAACCCTCTAAAAGCATTCATGCATTGTGCTGCATACAACTGTGTGCCCTTACTGTCTGTTCCTCCTTTCCTCCAGCCCGCATCTTCTGCATCCGACCATCTCAGAAATTACTGGTTTTATGGAGGGATACAACATACTATTTTCTTTTTACAATATTTTTTTTCTTCACAGCCAGTCACGATATCATTCTTTAATACAGACTGTTGTCACATAATTTGCCTCAGATGTGCTGATTCATTTTTCATTATAGCTGCTGCTATAATCAGCAGCAGCAGCAGCAGCACTGCTGCTTAAAGATTATTAATCTTTTATTAATAACTGCCTCCTTAACTCAAAGCAGTCAATGATGGTCTCAGAAATACAGGAAACCCAAACACTCAGCCATTGCAAGCATTTTTCCAAGCATAATTTTTCTCACTTAGTAAGTCTATTTTTGGCTTAAAGCTACAAGTGAAATCTAGTCAACAGCAAAGGATACACAACTTCAGAGAGGCATCATATGATTGCCCACCAAACAGGCTAGACTATGATGATTAAGTTATACTTGAAATTGTGTATAATGATCTCAAGCTCTGCTATCAGACCTTATGACACAGCTATTTTTTTCTTTTTCTTTGGAAATACTGACGTGATGTTCTAATGGCCCTCAAAGGAATTAAATGGTGTGGGGTTTTATTTTGGTGGTGTTTTTTTTTTTTTTTTGAAACTGAACAATTCAGGAAGGATGACCAGGAACCAAATAAAGATTTTTTTTAACTTGGTATTATTTTTGTCAGACAGGAATACCACCTGGAACTGGTATTTACCAATAGTAGTCTCATCCAAAGGGAGATCTCAGCTTGTGGAACAACGGAGTTCAGCTGAAAAGCAGAACAGGAGAGCAGAAGAAAATCGAGTACTGGTAATCACTGGACCATTGCTACCTATTCACTCCCTATTTAAATGCCTTCAGAATTGTATGTATCTATCAAAGCTCAGTTTCTGTTAATTTCTTCTCATGTAATATCTGCCTAGAGAATATTTCCAAAAGCTATCATTGTCAGTGTAGGCTTACTACAGAGAACCACATTTACAGTAATCAATTGTCACATAAACCATAAAATTTTTCTTGATGTAGCTTCTCCAAGTCCTTAAACAATCTCCTCTATTAACTGTCTTAACATTTATCTGTATTACCCACAGGGAGAAATAATACCAAAGAATCTACAGAAGTAAAAATCAGAAGCTGTATTTAGCCTCTGGCTTAAAACTTCTTGTCCACAAGCTAGGAAGGCAGCCTAATAGAAGTAAAAAAAGAATCCAAATCCCATAGATATTCAGATTCTTTAACTAGAAATACATTCTTCCACATCCTGTAGCTGCTCACAGTACTTTCTGCAACAAAGCAGACATGGTCTGGGCTGTAGCCACCCCAAAACAATTGATTTTTGCACTGTTTATGAAGCACAGGAGAGAGGAAAAAAGGACATATCAAGGATGCTTTCAGAATCCCTTTCAGTACCAGGGTGGAACTGAGTTTGAATCCTCTATATTCAGAACTGGGATGCTACTTTCTGAGCTGAAAAAACACCACTCTTAGCCATGCTAAGAAGGAATCAGACATATTAGGAAGCAGGTACAAGGAGCAAATTGGCATCACTTAATTAGCCTGAATCCATTGCTGCTGCTTTCTGATATCAGACTTCTGCCCTGATGGGCTTGCATTGCAACACAGTACTATGACGGCATATAAACTAGTTTCTGAAATCATTTCTGTTACTGGTAACTTCTGGTGCTCACTATGCACCCTGCTCTGCCCACACCTGGGCCAAGAGGTGTTCTGTTAGGTATACAGGCCCTAAGATATATGTGTGTGATTTAAGCTTATCTATGGACAATGGCTCATAATTTACACGCTGCCCAGAAATTCAGTTTCTGACATGTTCAAGAAGAACTTGTTTGCTTCTCAAACAGTTCTTTTTCTAAGACACTGCTAAGCCACCCTTGCCCAAGCAACTTGTATCTGTCTCATAAGAATTTTGCTGAGTCACATACTGCCTTGTGAATATATCAGTCTGGATGCTGTGATGTGATCTCCTCCAAGTAGCCAAGAAACGGAATCTTGGACCACTCCCACCAGAGAGCAGCAAATGCACTGATAAATCATTCTGGTAGCTTGCCTTTTTCAGTGATAAGAATACATTAGATTCACACAATAGCATTGTTCAGGGATAGAACGATGACTATCTAGTGAAGAATAACAAGCCTACAGCTCCATCTGGTGAGTCAGCTAGCCAGCAACTTTGGCATACGAGAATTAAAAAAAACACCACCAAAACCAACACTTAATTGAATTACTCACACAATCTGCATTTCCAGGATTTACTTGCATGATAGAAGAAATGAATAGGACACTAATTCTCATGAACAAATCCTAAGAAGATGTCTCTCAGGCCTGTTCTATTTTCAGTTTTACTCATTGGCGAAGCCCAGAAAGTAATTTTAGGAGAAACCTCTGTGCTATACTGAAATTCCATTACATAGTCCCTCTGTGCTAAAACACATTGTAGTAAACTAGGAGAACAAACTTAAGAAGTGAAAAAATCCTGCTTCTAGTTCTAGCATCAGAGATTTTACTAGTTCTGGACAACAGAAGACAGCTTAATGAAAATACTTAAATGATGGAAACAAACATTGTTAATATTCTTTTTGTTGTTCTCTTGTTCAATAGGAGGGAAATACATTGATACGAGTTTATTTTTCAACTCACAGAGCATGTAGTGTTCTTATACACAGTGCTTTTCATCTTCAAAGCCTTTATGAAGGTTAATTAATTCTCACATCACCCAGAGATGTACACCAGCCATGCTGATGTTGTAGGATTAAAACACGTCAAATACTAACACAGGTTCAACATCCAAAAATGGAATTACAATACAACATATTGTGGCTATTAGTCCTGCACTCGGATGCTATTAATTCTAAGTTTGAAATAACTTCATGAAGTGTTCACTTTTCATCAGTGACATATTGCAACATTCTCTCATGAAGTATTTTCTGGCAGTATCTGTGGTTCATAGTAGCATGCTAGCTAGATACATCACTTCTTGTCAACGTTGTAGTCTCAGCTGCATGACCAAACTATGAAGAAAGCACTCAGAAAATGTTATTTTTCCTTTGAATCTTTAGTTACAAACTTCTCTCCTGTGTTTATGCAACAGCTGAGAAAGATTTAGTTCAGCACGAGTAGAAGGTGAATTTAGTTTTACATATATCATTATTTTATCTATCTGGACTTTCTTCTTTGTTCCTTGCTATAAAACGCTAACAGCTTCTCACCTCTACTCTTCCCCACTCTCCCAACTTCACT